AATCCGGCCAGAAGCAGCGGAAGGCCTCAATCCTGGCAGTCTGCCTTTTGAGTCGGTCGGTGCTTGACCATGCTGTTGGTACTAATGTGCCCAAATGGCTTGCAGTAGCGCACGTGCAACACAGCTGACAGAAGTCATGCATGTCCGGCGAACCAAATCCTCCTAGGCACAGAACACACACAGCCTGTTTCCAAGCTTCTGGAGGAGTGAGGCGAGGCACGTGCAGACTTCCCTGCATCGTCAAATCCAGACGGCACGCTGCAACGTTTATTTCTAGGACACGGTCGCCTGCAGCAGTGCCAGACTGGAGTCCGATGCACGAGGCCCAAACTCGCAGTTGGTACTCCCTTGAACGCTGCATCTCGCATCTGTTTGCTGCAAGTTGCAGGTCCGGGCACAGGGCCGTGGCTCCAATGCCACAGCTAAAAAGTTTCGGGCAGCATTCACGTGGCAACTGAACCCCTCCTCCGCCTGAGCCGAAGGCACGGCTCTGGAATCAGCCCGTGTCGTCTTAAACACTACATGTCGAAGATGTGCTATAGGTGCCATGAGAAAGCTCATGGGCAGATTCCAATCAAAGAGTTTCTGCGGTCCCAGTGAAGCACCAAATCACCAGGAACCACGGAGGTTTCAGAGAGCAGCAGGTGTAGACAACATGTAGAGACAGAAGGCTTTCTCAGACACAGCAAGGTGGGTTCAGGGATGTTCTCCCCAAACCCGACCGCCCTGGCCGTTGCCGTCTGCTGTGCATCCTACTTCTACTAGCTGCTTCGATCACGGCTCCGGTTGAGAGGCTGTGCAAAAAAAACAGCCAATGTCTCGAAGCGAGGCTTTCTTAAACCCCTACGCTCTGCTTGCAGCCACTCGCATCTCAACTGGGGCCTTGGGTGGCCCCGGCCCCGCCACTCTCCCTGGTGATCGTTGGTAGTTGACCCTCTTCACGTTTGCAAGGGCCGGGAAAAACTACGGTTCGGCACTGCCTGACGGCAGGTTTGCCATGGGCTTGCCAGGCACAACTACAAGTCCTGTTCAAAACATACTTGAGTGACCCCATCAAAATGTTCCCTGCCTGTCCCGAGCCCCCAAGCCCTTCACGTTCTGCAAACTTAGCAGGCTGTGTCTATCCAGCCTGCCCGGTCTTAATTTTGCGTGTCACAAAGAACACCGAAGCCATTCAAACGCCGTGCCTGGGCTGGGGCACACAGCGAACACAAGCTCATGTTGCAAGACCCTGACATGCTACTTGCATGACTGGTGGCATTAGTCGCTGGACAGAACGTCACTGCAAGATCGCCGGTTTTGTGAAAGAGAGCAGCTTTGCGAAGAGCTTGGTGAGGCAGTTGCCGTGCCCGTGCCGTCGTCACTTGGGGCTTTCGGGAGATCCTCGGATTCGCAAGGGCTGTACGGGTCTCCGAGCTTCGCGCGAGTGATACCCGTAAGGCCAGCCAGTGGTGTGGCATCAGATCGCATGGCATCCGGTTTTAAAGCCGCGAACTCTTCGGGTGTGATGCATGTGCTCTGTTGCAAAGCTGCCTCAGCCAACGCAACAAGATCCCGCATGCTGGCCACGTGAACTGGGCCTTGTGTCATGCTGAGGGCCCGGCGAGCAAGGGATATGTGTGCGGAAGGACTTTCTGCTTGCTCTGTCGCAGAGCTTGGACAACGTTCTGCTGCGCGGCTGCTCGGGCGATCTTGGATCGAGTTCGTGGGCTGTCGTGCGCCCAGAAAGCCAAGATCTGTGCTGCATCCGGGGCCGACTTCTGGGATTCTAAGCAACTTCTCATCAGCGTCAGCACTGCCTCCAGCGTCTGCTCAGTCGTCTCAGGCTCCGAGCCCGAGCCAGGCTCTAAAGGCTCCTCTTCAAAGTCGACTTCGTGCTCACGCGGTGTTTCCTTCTCCTTCGCGGCCAGGGCCCCCTGCTCGATCAGGTGAACGAGCTTGTTGAATCTAAGAGCATCCTCCAAAGTGCAGAGCTTGAAGCGTAGGAGAAGCAGGAGCTCAGGAACAGCCGCAACGAGCCCTCCCCCCCCCAACCCCAAGGCCTGTCCAAGGAGGTCCCTGAAGGAGATGAGGGTCCCGGCGGTTCCGGTCCCAGTCAGCTGGGCATCGAAGACTCTGACCACCAAGCGGAAGACGACGAACTCGAGCATCAGGTCCACCTCGAGCCAGCCCGGCGAGCCCGGCTCGTCGGTAGATCGGCCGTCCGAGCCCGGGCCGAGCGGCTCCGGCTCACGAGAGCTCAAGACGCTCAGGACGCTCATCTGAGCGTCGCCCGTCTGGTCGTTACCCATCTCTCCTTTCAGGTCCAGAAATCGGACCAGGCTTTCAAACACTTCCGCCGGTCGCTTTGGAGACCGCCGGACAACGTCGCCAGGAAGCGCGACCCGCACCTGCCCAAGACAGAGCGAATGATGAGCATGGACATGGGATCCTCTAGACGCAAGGTACGATCAACCATTCGGAGGAGCACGAAGCGAAGTGGAACCCTGCCGGCGGCCCTGCCGCTTGTGTGGCCCTGTCGCGTGTGTTGCTGGTTTCTTCCTGCTTCCACTTGGTCCCACTCAGTTCGTGTACTGCAGTGCCCCAAATCTTGTGCCAGAACTTTTCTCCCGTGCAAGCCTGTGCATGTCACGACTTGAGAGCACAACGACGGCTCTGGCCACCCCACGAAAAGAAGCTGCCAGGATAACAGACAGCGGTGTGTGCATTGGTTCGATTTCGATCTTCATTGAATTGGATCACAGGAAAACCGTGTCTGCACATCCAAGCGAGAATACATTTCGTGATATTGCTTCCTCAGTCTTCTGCTGATCTCTCTTTCGCAGATCGTCAAGCGAGCATCCGTGAATCAAGCTGTTGCCTCGGGGATGGGCGCCATGCTTCCCGCAAAAAGTTTTAGCGCTGATTGCACTTCAAATCCAGAAAGCTTCGGCAAATGAATGCTCTGCAACAAGATGTGAAAAGCTCCTCGATGACGCCTCCATGCTGCTTTATGCCTGGACATAAGCGAAACTCCAGCAGCTTGCCCGGCATTGTCTGCGGTCATGGGGCTGCTTAGTTTGAGTTTACAGGCCGCTTGAAGATCCTCTACATGCCTCTCTCTTTCACTCCGCGCGCAGCGTCTTTTCAAAAAGACCAAGCTTGAAACGGCCAAGCGCGAGATCAAATACACTTTGGGACGTGCGATAGCTTGGATTCGGGAATTTCGCCGACTGCGCATGGCAGGAACATAACATGCCTCGGGGTGAAACTCCAACTGTGGATGATGCTGATGGCTACCACCTCACTACCCAAATACGATTATGAAGAGAATCCAGGGACACAGGTTGCAAAGACTAACCACAGCCGCCCTTCTAGAGCTTGGCTTCTTGCCACGAGACGGAATACTGGGCTCAGACCTCAGACCTTCCCGGGTCCTGCAGTCACTTTAAGTGAAAGACAGAGGCTCCGAGCTCACGAAATCTCACGAATCGTGCCTTCATGAAGCCAGGATAAATCCCAAATGGACCTAAAAGGCTCGACGGGCCCCGACTGGGAGGCGCAAAGACAGCTTGAGACTCAGCCCGGAACGGCCTCGAGCTGCCCCATTTCCGCTCTCCCAGAGTCAACCTCGTCAGGGCCAAAGCCATCCCGGGACTTTTTCGGTGACAGTGAGGGCCCTGCCGCTCGCTTGGTTCAAAGGTCAGCAAGCCTGCGGCGCGACAGGACCATCAAAGGGCGTGTGGAATCGAAGACATCGCCATGTGATGGTGCAGCACGGAGGGAATGCACACAGCAGCCCACAAGATGTGGATTGGTCCTCACCTTCAAGAAGACACACTAGCGGCTCAGACATAAACTCCACGACCTGAGATACAGTGTGCGATGCACTCGCAGCACACTTTGCAAACCAATCGAAAGGTTGCGGCTCGCTGCGTGCTGTTCCTGAGCTTGCGCTTCGCTAAGTACCTCAATTGGAACTGCTTTTCGCGATCCCATGGGGCCGAAAATCTCTTGCTCCAGGTTCGGGCATCCCCACCGTCTTCAGCTGGGGGGGGGCAGGAATTGTATATTACAGTTTCGGCTCCCTTCAGGCTACGAACAAGCTAATTGTAAACTGGGGTGTTGGCTTCCATGGATTGGGCTTCTGTCGGGTAGGGCTTGAAACCTAAACATGCCGCTCGGACTGCTTCGCATCTTTTTGTCGCCACTGCAAAGGTCGTGTTGGCTCGTCTGTCGGTGCTCTGTGTGCCCGGCTTCGCCGAGTGGACGCAATGTTTCGGACTGTTGGGAGTTTAGGGATCTAAGGTTGAGGCGGGTTAAGATTGAGGTGTTGACACGGCCAAGCCCTAGCCCCAGCAGCTAACTTTTAACGGACAGGCTCGACCATGACATCGAAGCTTAGAGCCGCGACTGCTTCACCCCATGGCTAGCCAGGGCGGGGCTGTTGCGTCCACGTCTCGCACGAATTTGGCAACCGACTTCAAGGACCCGGATCGGCTAGGGTGTAGCTCGGCCAGCATGTTGAAAACATGCGAAGAGTAGACAAGACCGGTCTTTCCTAGCAAAATGGTGTCAAAGAACATGATGGCTCGGCTGCACACCTCTTCCCATTTGAGAGCCTTCTTGCCGGAGCGGAAGCACTCGTTGCCGTCTAGCAGCGGCGTGGAGGTGCTACTGTACAAATTCGGCAATCGGCGCAGAAACAAGGTAGCATTCTTCTGTACAAGACCCGGCGTGAACTGCCGGTTGTTCCAGCCCTCAACCGCGGAGCTCGGCAATGCAACGATCTGACAGGGAGCTTCAGGGATACGGCTTGCTGGAGACGATGCCTCGATTGGACCAGGCCCGTGCCGGTCTCCATGCTCGTATGGCTATTGCAGCATATTGCGGCGGCTCAGGTCCGGGCCTTCCTAGTGGAAGACATGGTCGTGGCCTCGACTTCGGCGCAGTGCAGGCATGAGCCTCGCCTCTTCCTGATGCAGGACAAGCGGCCGGAGGCAAGAGACGAGGACATAGAGGCAGGGGACTTATCCTTTCTGCTGTGTGCGACTATCTGTGTCTTTCGTTTGCCGCAGGTTCCTTGTACCGCGAACGGCCGCAGGCCGCTGAAATTGTAAATTCGGGTGGGGGGCATGTGCCGATAGCTGCTGCAGGACAGGCTTTCTGCGGATGCACCCCCCTGCATTTTACATATCCCGGCCACCCGGACCAGGTTCAGGAGATCGTGGGCGAAGCCCACTTGGAATCGAGACCATCCGAGAAGGAGGCCAGGACAGGCACAATTGTAAATTCGGGGTGGGGGCATGTGCGGAATCGCTGCTGTGACCGGCCCGGCCGGGACTGCCCCCCCCGGCTTTATACATTTACTGGCTGCCCTTTTGCCTGCCCGTGGCAGGTTCCTAGTGCCGTGAACGAAGCGGAGCCGGGACCTGGGCCAGCCGTGCCGCAGGCCGTGGAAATTGTAAAATCGGGAGGGGGGCATGTGCCGACGGCTGCTGCAGGATAGGCTTTGTGCGGATGCACCCCCCTGCATTTTACATATCCCGGCCACCCGGACCAGGTTCGGGAGATTGTGGGCGAAGCCCACCTGGAATCGAGACCATCCGAGAAGGAGGCCGGGCACATGCCGGGACTGCATTTCCTAGCTGCCTTTTTGTCTGCCTGTTGCAGGTTCCTAGTACCGTGAACGAAGTGGAGCCGGGACCTGTGCCAGCCGTGCCGCAGGCCGCTGAAATTGTAAATTCGGGTGGGGGGCATGTGCCGACGGCTGCTGCAAGACAGGCTTTGTGCGGATGCACCCCTGCATTTTACATTTCCCGGCCACCCGGACCAGGCTCCGGAGACTGTGGGCGAAGCCCACCTGGAATCGAGACCATCCGAGAAGGCTTTTTCCGGCTTGGAGTCTGTGCCTGGCTGCCGTTGTGTCTGCCCGTGGCAGGTTCCTTGTACTACTACCCTGAACGAAGCGGAGCCGGGACCTGGGCCAGTCGTGTCGCAGGCCACTGAAATTGTAAAATCGGGTGGGGGGCATGCGCCGACAGCTGCCGTAGGAAAGGCTTCGTGCGGATGCACCCCCCTAAAATATACAATACCTCCGCCCCTGCCCGGGCCAGGTATGTGACGCCGTGAAGAAAGACAAGCTGGGAAGGTTCGATGGGGCTGATGGAGCTGACGAGGCCGGGTCCTTCACAAAGGCAAACAACAACAACAACAAAAAAAATGCACGCCCAACGCCAAACCTTCACGTGGCCATCTCCATGAACGTTGTAGAGATGGGCAAGCTGTTGATGTGGTGGGTCCTGTACGATGGGGAGGGGAAAGCCAGAAATATGACAACAACTTACATCGATCCTCCATTTTGTTCTTCAAGGCGTAGTTGGAGGCGTCCGTGAAGCTGCGGCACTTCTTCTCATCCGCGGCGATCCACGTGTCTCGGTGGACTGCAAAGGAGGGGACTCTTGCCTCGAAAATGGAGGCTGCGCCGGGCCGATAGTTCGACCCACTAGCTTCAACATGCTTTACAACACATGGGCCTCCACCCTCTTCCCCATAGACTCCTAACACAAGTGAGCCTTGAGATCGGCTGGCCCTTCTGAGGGCCGCTTCGCCTCTCCCCCGACTGGATGAGGCGCCATGGGCCCGGCTTCGGCTTTCGAGGCATCCCTGAACCGCCCTGAATGTGTCTGCTCCAGTAGTGAAAAATAATCAAAAGCCCAGTGCCGACAATATGGCTTGCTCACCCCTCCCCCTATGCCGTCATAGTGGCTTAAGATATATACAGTAAATTTGCTAGAACCCGTGCCAAAAAGGTGGCTTAGTAACCCGTCCCCCAAAGCCGTCAAAATGGCTTAAGATCTTACATAAGAGATTCTACAACGTCGTCAGGGAATGTCTAGGACCTAGGATCATTGCCCCTTTGCACCGAACCAGAACCACAAGGTTTAGATCCACAGGGCTTTTTCGACAGAGTTGGCTTTTAAAGACGTTTACAGACTTTTAAAAACTTTCAAATGCAAGAAAAAACATTCTAAAAACTTTTAGAAGACTTTAAAAGACTTTTAGAAACTTTTAGAAGACTTTTGCAAACTTTAAAAGACTTTTCAAAACTTTAAAAGGCTTTTAAAATATTTAAAAGACTTTTAAAAACATTAAAATACATTTAAAAGCTTTAAAAATACTTTAAAAGACTTTTAAACGCTTTTAAAAGCTTTTACAAACTTTAAAAAGAATTTGAAAGACTTTTAAAGACTTTAAACAACTTTTAAAATTTTTTAAAAACTTTAAAAACAAAAAAAACTAATGTTTTTTCCGAGAAGACGAGGATGAAGAAGACCTGGCACAGGGTTTACAGTTTCAGGGTCTTTAGGGTTTGGGGTTAGAAGGCAGAGTGCCATAGTATTAGGGGTTTGAGGGTAATGAAAGGGTTAGGGTTAGAGTTTCAGGGTCTTTATTATATTTAGGGTTTGGGGTTAGAAGGCAGAGTGCCATAGTATTAGGGGTTTGAGGGTAATGAAAGGGTTAGGGTTAGAGTTTCAGGGTCTTTATTATATTTAGGGTTTGGGGTTAGAAGGCAGAGTGCCATAGTATTAGGGGTTTGAGGGTAATGAAAGGGTTAGGGTTAGAGTTTCAGGGTCTTTAGTATTTAGGGTTTGGGGTTAGAAGGCAGAGTGCCATAGTATTAGGGGTTTGAGGGTAATGAAAGGGTTAGGGTTAGAGTTTCAGGGTCTTTAGTATATTTAGGGTTTGGGGTTAGAAGGCAGAGTGCCATAGTATTAGGGGTTTGAGGGTAATGAAAGGGTTAGGGTTAGAGTTTCAGGGTCTTTAGTATTTAGGGTTTGGGGTTAGCAGGCAGAGTGCCATAGTGTTAGGGTTTGAGGGTAATGAAAGGGTTAGGGTTAGAGTTTCAGGGTCTTTAGTATATTTAGGGTTTGGGGTTAGAAGGCAGAGTGCCATAGTATTAGGGGTTTGAGGGTAATGAAAGGGTTAGGGTTAGAGTTTCAGGGTCTTTAGTATATTTAGGGTTTGGGGTTAGAAGGCAGAGTGCCATAGTGTTAGGGTTTGAGGGTAATGAAAGGGTTAGGGTTAGAGTTTCAGGGTCTTTAGTATTTAGGGTTTGGGGCTAGAAGGCAGAGTGCCATAGTTTTAGGGTTTGATAGTATTAGGGATGCACAAATCGCGTGAAGTGGCTACGAACTGCTGGATGTTGCGCTTTTCTGCGTTGACCACACTGTCAAGCGAATCACGTGCAGGCGAAGCAGGGTACAGCTGGGTGACGCGACAACGTCTGGCACTCTGCCTTCCCAGCTGCTGGCACTCTGCCTTCCCGCCTCAAGATCCATTAATTATTGCCACCCCAACTTTGCACGAAGCTGGTCGGTCAAAGGTATTGCTCCAGCATCAAGGTCAGGAAGTTCCCCCGGACCACCGAGACGGATGGCAACAAGTGAGAGGTGTTTCATCTGAAGGACAAACTGCCGTTGTTGTTCATCTTCGTCGTTCCAAACATAAACAAAATCACAAACGAGAGAAACGCGCGGCAACTCCAGCGGTTCTTCTCCTTCACCCACCTGATAACACTTCGGGAAGGGGCCTTCGTACCGTCGAAGAAGCCTGAGGCCTCCTGTAATGCGGGAGCCAATACGTGGCCAGTAACGCAGGTAGCGAACCATGATTTCCCAAGGCACGTCGTCATAAACTTCCTTCCATCTCTCAGCTGGTTTCCACTGGTCAGGCGCTTTGGCCAATTTTTCGCAAGCGGTTTTGATCAAGATTGGGGAGAGCTCGCCTCTGAAGAAACACTCTCCTCGTTCGATCGGGGCGAAATGCATTGCTCTGGACGGCTACTGTTCAGTCACAAGCACGCACGGCTTCAAACCACATGTGCTAGTTTGTGCGGCTTCCGGGTTGTGGCACTCGAAATGATTGTCCATGTGCTTGCACGTGACAAATTCCACATGTGTGAAAATGCGAACATGCTTTCGCAATCCGTCTTCCCCAAGCAGAAACACACAGTCTCTCGGACGCATTCCAATCTAGCAGGACCCGCTGCCATCAATGCAAGCACACAGACAGACACACAACTTTTCTTTGCAGCGCAGGATGAATCCTCTAGTTGTTGCCAGGCCTCCTGGTCGGGCCACAACAGGGCCTATGGTCAATGACGTGTTGTCTGGCCTGCGCTTCTGTCATCTTGGAAGCCACACGTCCCCAGTGATAGGGTACGAGGTGGCTCCACTCGCCTTCAATGCCAGACACACATGGGTTCATGTAATGTGACACAACACACAGCAGATCAGGCAACCACATCGAAGCTATAACAAATGTTCCGAATCTTTCCAAGAGACCGCCGTCTGTCACACGAACTCGGAGAAACCATTTTGCTTTGTCAGTGCCACCAGGATTCGGGTCGTACTTCATCTCACCAGCGATCTTGGGACACTCCGGGCATTGAACAGGTGTCCATACCCCTTGGTAGTCAACACGGTTCGGCCGCCGCTGATGTTGGGGGCCACGGACTGCAACCTCCCGTGGCTCGAGTGCTGGGATAGGCACTGCAGGCACCTCCGGCATCTCAGCAGGAGGGGCTGGCACTCTGCCTTCCTCGGGCTCCACGTGATCATCAGGCTCTGGGACAGGGATTGCAGCAGGCACCTCCGGCATCTCAGCAGGAGGGGCTGGCACTCTGCCTTCCGCGGCCTCCACGTGATTATCAGGCTCCGGCTCCACCGGCACCTCAGCAGGAGGTGCTGGCACTCTGCCTTCTGCTCCCTCTTGACCACTTTCATCAGGAGGCGCGGGTTGCTTCCTGGGCAACATACGTGGGCGACAAATCTTTCTCTTGGCTTTCCGTTTGGCCTGTGGCTTGGCCTTTGCTTTGGTCTTTGCTTTGGCCTTGCCCTTTGCCTTGGCCTTTGCTTGCTGCGTCTTGATGGCCTGCCAGGTTTGATGCACCCTTTTGATTCTGCGTTTTCTGACTGCGTCTGAGACCATTTTAAATTCCTGTTTGTCCTCAGCAAGC